TTGCTGTGAATGACAGTAATATTAACTATATTACTGTTAAACACAGTAAAATTAACTAAACTATAGTTTAACACATTGATATTGCTATATTAATCTCTAGCACATTAATATTAACACAACAAAATTCATTATTATTGTATAATAAAGTAATATTACTATGTTGTCCGTTCAACAAATGTAAACAAAATAAAAAAAACCAAAAGAATTAATATTACTGTGAGTGACAGTAATATTACTATAGCAACAGTAATATCACAATAGTAGACAGTAATATTATTACGTTACTCCGTGAATAACTCGAACAAACAAAAAATCCAAACAAAATAATAATATTGATGTGGTTGACAGGAATATTACTATAACAACAGTAATATTACCGTCAACCACAGTAATATTATTGTGTTTACAGTAATATTACAATAATAGACAGTAATATTAATACGTTACTCCGTGAATAACTCAAACAAAACAAACACCCCAAAAAAATAATAATATTGATGTTGTTGACAGTAATATTATTGTGTTTACAGTTATTTTACTGTCAACGACAGTAATATAATTACGTTGACTTGTCAACAAATCAAAAAAAATAAAAAAAAAATAATAATAAATAAAAAAATATAATATTGCATTAATTTACTGTCAACGGCAGCACAATTACATAAATGTAATGTCAACGGCAGTACAATTACGTTAATTAACTATCATTGACAGTATAATTACGCTAAATTACTGTCAGTGACAGCACAATTACGGTCAACGTGTAGCGGCGGGCGTGGAAAAACAAAACAAACCAAACAAAAAAAAAAAAACTTAAAAAAACACTAAAGAAAGAGACCGCCGGAAACCGGCGAAAAAATCCGGAAGAAAAGAAAAGAAAAAAAAAAATCAAAAAAAAAAAAAAAAAAAAAAGTCAACGCAGGAAACCGGCGAAAAAATCCGGAAGAAAGAAAAAAAAAAAAAAAAAAAAAAACCATTTTAAAAAAGTTAACGCCGGAAACCGGCGTTGACCGCCGGTCAACCCCGAAATCCGGCGGCAAAAAAAAACTTTTTGAAAAAAAAAATATTTTTTCAAAAAAAAAAAGGTTGGGGCCAAAATTTAAAAATTTGTGAAATTTGGGGCCAAATTGAAATTAAATTAAGTTAAGGATGAAATTGGAGCATATTAAATTATACCCCAAAAAAAAGCCAAAATTGAATTTTTGGGGCCAAAATTGAACTTTTAGGGACAAAATTGATAAATTTGGATTACAATTAAAAATTGGGTATAAATGGTTGAGGGAAATATTGGGGAATACATGAAGGTTCCCTTTACTTATAATAAATATTAAAGTGGATGGGCTTATTGGTAAAAGAGATATGTCCCCTAAACCTAGAATAATAAACATGCTTGGTTGGGGACTTTTGCATAAAAATCCCATATATATATATATATATATATATATATATATATATATATATATATATATATATATATATATCTTGTCACTTATGTAATCGTATATGCTGGAATTGTGTCTCTATAGCATGGAACTGTGTCCATGTTCAGAATATTATTTATTTCCTTTTTTTTTCTTTTTTCTTTTTTTTCTTGAATATACAAATCAAGTGGTATTTGCAAAAACTTATAATAGCGCATATTCTAACAATCAAATTGAATAGTTAGGTACTCGACACGTGTTATAGACTCATAGAAGATCATATTTAACTGGGGCTCGAATTTTAATGTATATAGAGTCTTTCTTCCAAAATACAAACAAACGTTACTTCGTTTTTCAAATTCTTCTTCCGAAATAATTTTTTCTAAAATGAAAAAAAATAAAAAAATATAGCTAAAAGGGGGCCAAACATAGCTTTGATTATTTTTCAAACTCATAATTCCATGCAGCAACCTGATTGAACATGCCCTAAAAAATCATCTCCTGCCTCCACTCTTTCCCACTTGCCACTATTCAAATCCAACAAAAACATCTTGTAGGCCCCACCAAACCCTTCCGATCCAATCACCAACACCTTCCCCCGCCACGCCGCCACGTACGCCGTGATATTCCTCACCTCCGAAGGCATCTCCGCCACAACCCTCCACGCGGACCCCTCCCGTTCCGCCAAATTCCCACCTTGTACTGCCACGTCGCAGTTCCCGGTACACGTGGTGGGCCCGTCCAAGAATTCTTCCTGGACCGGGCCCCATTGCCATGTGGCGGCGTCGAACGACTCGGCGCTGGTCTCGAACTGACCCTGCATGTCGGTCCGGTACCCGCCGATGATGTGGAATATTCCTGCATGGAATATTCCCTTCGCCTCGTCGCGCTCCGTTGCCATGTCGGGCATGGCCGACCAAATGTCTCCCGCCACGTCGTACGCCATTGCGGTTCTCAACGCGCGCTTGTCGTTGTCGTGGCCACCGGCCACGAAAACCCTCCGAAGGGAATCGGACGCGCACGCGAAAAAGAGTCTCGGTTCGCCAGGCATGTGGGCCCCACTGCGCCACGTGGCGGTGGCGAAGTTGTAAATGAATACCGAATTCGAAACCTCCCAAGTAACCGGGTCGCACCCGCCCACCACCACCAAGTCCAACCCAACACCAACTACTTGACAGAACATGGGCAACCCACCCCAGTAACCGGGTATGGGCGGCAGCTCGGCCCAAATACCCGTTTCCGGTTCGCAAAGCGTGAGCCGATAAACGGGAGCAGCAATATATTTCTTGGGCATGTGGTCCCGGGTCGGGTCGACCCGGGACTGGGCCAACACAATGACTTGCCGGGTAAACCCGGCGGCCCTACGGCGGCGCCAGAACTCCGGAAGGTGGAGCTGGCGCCGCCAACTTTTGGAGACCGATGAAATGGAAGAGAAATGATTGTAATGAATTCTTACCAAGCATTCAAGCCCGACATCTTCCGGAAGACCCGGAATAAGATCCGTATCCGTATCAATATCCATGACCCGTATAATAATATAACTACTGTTGGAAGTTTCAGAATATGTATATATATATGCAATACAGAGAGATAATTAAAAGTGATGAAAGTGGTTTGTATGCTTTAGTACTTTATGAGAGATGAAAGTGACGATGGAGATATAATCAATTTGTGCATATGTGGGGATGAGATGTTAAAGGGAAAAAGCTTCTAGAAGCTGAGTTTAGGACAAGAAAGGGACCATAATAAAGTGGTCGAATATGGTAATCAATATATATATACAAATGTATATATATATGCAGAAGAGAGGGGAATAGTGGCACTACTGGAAAAAGTCTTCTAGAAGGAAAAACAAGGCCCATTAAATCGCACTATGTATTGTACGACAAGATACTTGATTTTGAAAGTTTAAGATGGTTTCAATTTATTCATTTCAAAATTGATTAAAAATAAATAAAAATTAAAAAGAAATTGATAACTCAAGCAACAATTAATTAGCCAACAGATTGTATGATGATGGGAAGAAACATGCCGCCCGTTGTTAATATTTGGCGGGATCAACTTCAATTATGCACAATTTTGACTTTTTAACAATATATTTGATATATCACATTTTTTAAATTAAAAGAGACATTGGAAAATGTATGTTTTAAGCAAAGAAAAAAATTGAGATGTGATGAATGTTGACCAAAAACAGAAATTAATATCCAAATATTATTCGTATAGTTGTCCGACACGCCAAGTTTACTCCACATATACATATAATATATTGACCTAATATTGAAAGTCATTAATCATGCCACTTGAGTGAAAAAAGCATTTTTGCAACATATTTATCATGGCTGAAACCATAGTTCATACATACAACTAATATATATACATATATATATATATATATATATACACACACACACACACACACACACACACACACACACACACACACACAAGAGATCTTGTAAGTTCAAGAATATTATATGTGAAAATTTAGTGCAAAATTACAAATAGATCTCTCATGTTTGGGTAATTACAACCAAGTCCCTCAATTATGTATTGTCTTAAAAGAAAATCCCTTATTCATTAGGTAAATTTCACCACTACCCCACCCCAGAAGTTTCAAATTTTAAGATTTTCCATTTATATATAATTTATGATAATTGAAAACAAATCAAGAATTGTTTCATAATTTGAATTTCTTGCTACAACTTGCATATACTATAAAAGAGAGAATATTACAAATGGCGATAAGAACTAGGGGGTAGGGCCCACCTCTTGTTTAGAGAAGGTTTTTGTGCCTTTTGGGATACGGAAAAAGCAAGTATGTAGCACATTCTGAAGAAGAAGAAGTGTGGCTTAAAATGATGTTTTCTCAATCTTAAAGGACTAAGGACTAAATAACCTTACATACAACAATACTTAATATTCAGGCCGTTGAGTCTGACTTTTTAAGTTTTTTAACTCCCATACAGAAGACAGACAAGAAGGCAAGGTAATATATAGAAGTTAAAACGAGGAAATATGTAATTTCTTTCTTCCTGCGAAATCAGATCATAAAAACGACTAACCAATGAACCCTCACCGGAAAATCGTAAGTAGCGTCAATGGCGAGCTGCCAGTTCAAGAAGCTCCTTGTAATCGGGAGATTCGGACAAGATGTAAGGTTTTACTTTCATGTTGTCATTGTCACTCTTCCCTGGAGAGATATACTTCACTCCTATCAGCTTCATGCCTACAAGACGAGAAAATAAAGTAAACTTCAGGTGAAAATAAAGACAAGATAAAGGAACCTGTGTTCGAATCCCACAAGCACGAGTGGGCGTATTGAAGATATAAAAATAGGAAATGATTCCCCTCATTAACAGCTTCGGCTTTTTTTTAGATTCAGTTGTCATTCAACACATATGAATCGGATCAAATACAAAACCAAGACACGGAAAAATGAGTGCATTATGGTGAAAGAAATTAGTATATATATATTAACTTCGCAGAAACACATTCACGTGTGAGATTTGAAAATCAGAAACAAAAAAAAAAACTCACTGTCATCGACACGGCCAAATAGGAATCTCTCTCCTTTCCAGTATTCTAGAGGTCTCATCTTGATTCTTTTGCTCCTTCTTACTCCAGTATCGAACGATGTACCACACTCTGCAGTTGCAGCATATATAGAATTAGTTAAGCAAGAAATACTCTACTGTACAAGTTTCTCCTTATATAGGTGAATGCTTAAACACCTGCAAGACTTTTCCGCATGGGATGTGCCTTTTTGATGCGTTCTTCGCCTAGTACTCTTTTTCCTCTTTGAAGCTTGCGTTCTTCGTTATTTGCTGATATTGACGTGATCTTTCTAGGAACCTTA